GCTCCAATGGACCAGTTGGACCAATTGGCCTATTGCTCCAATGGACCGGCTGGACCAACTGGCCTATCGGTCCTATGGACCAGTTGGACCAACTGGCATGTTGGTCATATGGACCGGTTGGACCAACTGGCCTGTTGATCCTATGGATCGGTTGGACAAATTGGCATGTTGGACATATGGACCGGTTGGACCAACTGGCCTGATGGCCGAATGGACTGGTTGGACCAACTGGCCTGTTGATCTAATGGACCGGTAGGACCAACTGGCCCGTTGGTCATATGGATCGGTTGGACCAACCAGCCTGTTGATTCAGTGGACCGGTTGGACCAACAGGCGTGTTGGGCGAATGGACCGGTTGGACCAACTGGCCTGTTGGTCCTATGGACCGGTTGGACCAACTGGCCTATTGATCTAATGGACCGGTAGGACCAACTGGCCCGTTGGTCATATGGATCGGTTGGACCAACCAGCCTGTTGATTCAGTGGACCGGTTGGACCAACAGGCGTGTTGGGCGAATGGACCGGTTGGACCAACTGGCCTGTTGGTCCTATGGACCGGTTGGACCAACAGTCCAGCTGGCCGAATGGACCGGTTGGACCAACTGGCCTGTTGGTCCTATGGCCCGGTTGGACCAACAAGCATGTTGGCCAAATGGACAGGCTAGACCAACTGGCCTGTTGGTCTTATGGACCCGTTCGACCAACTAATCTGTTGGTCCTATGGACCGGTTGGACCAACATCGTGTTGGTCCTTTGGACCGGTTGGACCAACTGGCCAGTTGTTCCAATGGACCAATTGGACCAACCGACGTGTTGGTCCTATAGACTGGTTGGACCAACTTGCCTGTTGGTCCTATGGACCGGTTGGACCAACTGGCATGTTCGTCCTATGGACCGGTTGGACCAACTCGCATGTTGGTCCAATGGACCAATTGGACTAACTGGCTTGTTGGTCCTATGGACCGGTTAGACCAACTGACGTGCTGGTCCTATGGACCAGTTGGACCAACTGGCCTGTTGTTCCTATGGACTGGTTGGACCAACTGGCCTGTTGGTCCTATGGACCAATTGGACCAATTGGCCTGTTGGTCCTATGGACCGATTGGACCAACTTCCGTGTTGGTCCTATGGACCGGTTGGGCAAACTGGCCTGTTGTTCTAATGGACCAGTTGGACCAACTAACGTGTTGGTCCTATAGACCGGTTGGACCAACTTGCCTGTTGGTCCTATGGACCGGTTGGACCAACTGGCATGTTGGTCCTATGGACCGTTTGGACCAACTCGCATGTTGGTCCAATGGACCAATTGGACGAACTGGCCTGTTGGTCCTATGGACCGGTTGGACCAACTGACGTGTTGGTCCTATGGACCGGTTGGACCAACTGGCCTGTTGTTCCTATGGACCGGTTGGAGCAACTGGCCTATTGGCCAAATGGACTGGTTGTACCAACTAACCTGTTGGTCCTATGGACCAATTGGACCAATTGGCCTGTTGGTCGTATGGACTGGTTGGACCAACTTACGTGTTGGTCAGATGGACCGGTTGGACCAACTGGCCTGTTGTTCTAATGGACGAGTTGGACCAACTAACGTGTTGGTCCTATAGACTGGTTGGACCAACTTGCTTGTTGGTCCTATGGACCGGTTAGACCAACTGTCATGTTGGTCCTATGGACCAATTGGACCACCTGGCCTGTTGGTCCTATGGACCGGTTCGACCAAATGACGTGTTGGTCCTATGGACCGGTTGGACCAACAGGCTTGTAGGCGAATGGATCGGTTGGACCAACTGGCCTGTTGGTCCTATGGACCGGTTGGACCAACTGTCATGTTGGTCCTATGGACCGGTTGGACCAACTTGCCTGTTGGCCAAATGGACCGGTTGGACCAACTGGCCTGTTGGTCCTATGGACCGGTTTGACCAACTAGCCTGTTGCTCCTATGGACGAGTTGGACCAACTGGCATGTTGGTCCTATGGACCGGATGGACCAATTGGCCTGTTGATCCAACGTGCCGGTTGGACCAACGGACGTGTTGGTCCTATGGAACGGTTGGCCAAGTTGCGTGTTGGTCCTATGGACCGATTGGACCAAATTGCCTGTTGGCCGAATAGACCGGTTGGACCAACTGGCCTGTTGGTCTTATGGACCAGTTGGACCAACTGGCATGTTGGTCCTATGGACCGGTTGGACCAACTGGCATGTTGGTCCTATGGACCGGTTCCACCAACCGGCCTGTTGGCCGAATGGACCGGTTGGACCAACTCGCTTGTTGGTCCTATGGACCGGTTGGACCACGTGGCCTGTTGGTCCTATGGACCGGTTGGACCAACAGGCCTGTTGGCCAAATGGACGGGCTGGACCAACTGGCCTGTTGGTCCTATGGACCAGTTCGACCAACTAGCCTGTTGGTCCTATGGACCGGTTGGACCAACTTCGTGTTGGTCCTATGGATCGGTTGGGCCAACTGGCCAGTTGTTCCAATGGACCAGTTGAACCAACTGACGTGTTGCTCCTATAGACCGGTTGGACCAACTTGCCTGTTGGTCCTATGGACCGGTTGGACCAACTGGCATGTTGGTCCTATGGACCATTTGGACCAACTCAAATGTTGTTCCAATGGACCAATTGGTCGAACTGGCCTGTTGGTCCTATGGACCGGTTGGACCAACTGACGTGTTGGTCCTATGGACCGGTTGGACCAACTGGCCTGTTGTTCCTATGGACCGGTTGGACCAACTGGCCTGTTGGTCCTATGGACCGGTTGGACCAATTGGCCTATTGGCCAAATGGACTGGTTGTACCAACTGGCCTGTTGGTCCTACGGACCAGTTGGACCAATTGGCCTGTTGGTCCTATGGACTGGTTGGACCAACTTACGTGTTGGTCCTATGGACCGGTTGGACCAACTGGCTTGTTGTTCTAATGGACGAGTTGGACCAACTAACGTGTTGGTCCTATAGACCGGTTGGACCAATGTGCTTGTTGGTCCTATGGACCGGTTGGACCAACTGACATGTTGGTCCTATGGACCGGTTCGACCAACTCGCATGTTGGTCCTATGGACCAATTGGACCACCTGGCCTGTTGGTCCTATGGACCGGTTCGACCAACTGACGTGTTGGTCCTATGGACCGGTTGGACCAACTGGCCTGTTGGCCGACTGGACCGGTTGGACCAACAGGCCTGTTGGTCCTATGGACCAGTTGGACCAACTGGCATGTTGGTCCTATGGACCGGTTGGACCAACTGACATGTTGGTCCTATGGACAAGTTTGACCAACTAGCTTGTTGGTCCTATGGACGAGTTGGACCAACTGAGAAGTTGGTCCTATAGACCGGTTGGACCAACTGGCCTGTTGGTCCTATGGAACGGTTGGACGAACTGGCCTGTTGGACGAATGGACTGGTTGGACCAACTGCCCTGTTGGTCTTATGGACTAGTTGGACCAACTGGCATGTTGGTCCTATGGACCAATTGGACCACCTCGCCTTTTGGTCCTATGGACCGGTTCGACCAACTGACGTGTTGGTCCTATGGACCGGTTGGACCAACTGGCATGTTGGTCCTATGGACCGGTTGGACGAACTGGCCTGTTGGACGAATGGACTGGTTGGACCAACTTCCCTGTTGGTCCTATGGATCGGTTGGACCAACCGGCTTGTTGATCCAGTTGACCGGTTGGACCAACTGGCCTGTTGGCCGAATGGACCAGTTGCACCAACTGGCCTCTTGGTCCTATGGACCGGTTGGACCAACTGGCCTTTTGGTCCTATGGACCGGTTGGACCAACTGGCCTGTTGGCCGAATGGACCGGTTGGACCAACCGGCTTGTCGGTCCTATGGAACGGTTGGACCAACTTGGGTGTTGGTCCTATGGACCGGTTGGACCAAATTGCCTGATGGCCGAATAGACTAGTTGGACCAACTGGCATGTTGGTCCTATGGACGAATTGGATCAACTGGCCTGTTGGTCCTATGGACTGGTTGGACCAACTGTCAAGTTGGTCCTATAAACCGGTTGGACCAAAAGACCTGTTGGTCCAATGGACCGGTTGGACTAACTGGCCTGTTGTCCGAATGGACCGGTTGGACCAACTAGCCTGCTGGTCCAATGGACCGGTTGGACTAACTGGACTGTTGTCCGAATGGACAGGTTGGACCAACTGGCCTGCTGGTCCTATGGACTGGTTGGACCAACTTACGTGTTGGTCCAATGGATCGGTTGGACTAACTGGGCTGTTGCCCGAATGGACCGGTGGGACCAACTGGCCTGGTGGTCCTATAAACCGGATGGACCAACCCGCATGTTGGTCATATGGACCGGTTGGACCAACTCGCCTGTTGGTCCTATGGACCAATTGAACCAACTCGCATGTTGGTCCTATGGACCGATTGGACCAACTGACGTGTTGGTCATATGGACCGGTTGGACCAACTGGCCTGTTGGTCCTATGGACCGGTTGGACCAACTGGCCTGTTGGTCCTATGGACCGGTTGGACCAACTGGATTGCTGGTCCAATGGACCGGTTGGACCAACTAGCGTGTTGGTCCTATGGACCACTTGGACCAACTGGCTTGTTAATCCTATGGACCGGTTGGACCAACTGGCCTGTTGGCCGAATGGACTGGTTGGACCAACTGGCCTGTTAATCCTATGGACCAGTCGGACCAACAGGCCTGTTGGTCCTATGGATCGGTTGGACCAACAGACATGTTGGTCCTATTGACCGGTTGTACCAACTGGCCTGTTGGTCCTGTGGACCCGTTAGACCAACTGGCCTGTTGGTCCTATGGACCAGTTGGACCAACTTGCCTGTTGCTCTAATGGACCGGTTGGACCAACTGGCCCGTTGATCCACTGGACGAGTTGGACCAACTGGCATGTTGGTCCTATGGACCGGTTGGACCAACTGGCCTGTTGGCCGGATGGACCGGTTGGACCAACCGGCCTGTTGGTCCTATGGAACAGTTTGACCAACTGACGTGTTGGTCCTATGGTCCTGTTGGACCAACTGACGTGTTGGTCCTATGGACCGGTTGGACCAACTAGCCTGTTGGTCCTATGGACCGGTTGGTCCAACTGGCATGTTGGTCCTATGGACCGGTTGGACGAACTGGCATGTTGGTCCTATGGACAGGTTGGACCAACTGGCCTATTGGTCCTATGGACCGGCTGGACCAACTGGCCTGTTGGTCCTATGGACCGGTTGGACCAACTGGCCTGTTGGCCAAATGGACGGGCTGGACCAACTGGCCTGTTGGTCGTATGGACCAGTTGGACCAACTAGCCTGTTGGTCCTATGGACCGGTTGGACCAACTTACGTGTTGGTCCTATGGACCGGTTGGACCAACTGGCCTGTTATTCCAATGGACCAGTTGGACCAACTCATGTGTTGGTCCTATAGACCATTTGGACCAACTTGCCTGTTGGTCCTATGGACCGGTTGGACCAACTGGCATGTTGGTCCTATGGACCGTTTGGACCAACTCGCATGTTGGTCCTATGGACCAATTGGACCAACTGGCCTATTGGTCCTATGGACCGGTTGGACCAACTGATGTGTTGGTCCTATGGACCGGTTGGACCAACTGGCCTGTTGTTCCTATGGACTGGTTGGACCAACTGGCCTGTTGGTCCAATGGACCGGTTGGACCATCTGGCATGTTGTTCCTATGGACCGGTTGGACCAACTGGCCTGTTGGACGAATGGACCGGTTGGACCAACTCGCCTGTTGGCCAAATGGACGGGCTCGACCAACTGGCCTGTTGGTCCTATGGACCAGTTGGACCAACTGGCCTGTTGGTCCTATGGACCGGTTGGACCAACTTACGTGTTGGTCCTATGGACCGGTTGGACCAACTGGCATGTTGGTCCTATGGACCGGTTGGACCAACTCGCATGTTGGTCCTATGGACCAATTGGACCAACTGGCCTATTGGTCCTATGGACCGGTTGGACCAACTGATGTGTTGGTCCTATGGACCGGTTGGACCAACTGGCCTGTTGTTCCTATGGACCGGTTGGACCAACTGGCCTGTTGGTCCTATGGACCGGTTGGACCATCTGGCATGATGTTCCTATGGACCGGTTGGACCAACTGGCCTGTTGGACGAATGGACGGGTTGGAACAATTGGCCTGTTGGTCCTATGGACCGGTTGGACCAACTGATGTGTTGGTCCTATGGACCGGTTGGACCAACTGGCCTGTTGTTCCTATGGACCGGTTGGACCAGCTGGCCTGTTGGTCCTATGGACCGGTTGGACCATCTGGCATGATGTTCCTATGGACCGGTTGGACCAACTGGCCTGTTGGACGAATGGACGGGTTGGACCAATTGGCCTGTTGGTCCTATGGACCGGTTGGACCAACTGGCCTGTTGGTCCTATGGTCCGACCGACTGACGTGTTGGCCGAATGGACCAGTTGGACCAAACTCACGTGTTGGTCCTATAGACCATTTGGACAAACTTGCCTGTTGGTCCTATGGACCGGATGGAGCAAGGGGCATGTTGATCCTATGGACCGGTTGGACCAATTCGCATGTTGGTCCTATGGACCGGTTGGACCAACTGACGTGTTAGTCCTATGGACCGGTTGGACCAACTTACGTGTTGGTCCTATGGACCGGCTGGACCAACTGGCCTGTTGTTCCAATGGACCAGTTGGACCAACTCACGTGTTGGTCCTATAGACCATTTGGACAAACTTGCCTGTTGGTCCTATGGACCGGTTGGAGCAACTAGCATGTTGGTCCTATGGACCGGTTGGACCAATTGGCCTGTTGTCCGAATGGACCGGTTGGACCAACTGGCCTGTTGGTTCTATGGACCGGTTGGACTAACTGGCCTGTTGTCCGAATGGACCGGTTGGACCAACTGGCCTGCTGGTCCTAGGGACTGATTGGACCAACTTGCGTGTTGGTCCTATGGACCGGTTGGACAAACTGGCCTGTTGTCCGAATGGACCGGTTGGACCAACTGGCCTGTTGGCCCTATTAACCGGATGGACCAACTCGCATGTTGGTTATATGGACCGGTTGGACCAACTCGCCTGTTGGTCCTATGGACCAATTGGACCAACTCGCATGTTGGTCCTATGAACGGGTTGGACCAACTGGCCTGTTGGTCCTATGGACCGGTTGGACCAAATGGCCTGTTGGTCCTATGGGCCGGCTGGACCAACTGGATTGTTGGTCCAATGGACCGGTTGGACCAACTGGCCTGTTGGTCCTATGGATCGGCTGGGCCAACTGGCCTGTTGATCCTGTGGACCGGTTGGACCAACTGACATGTTGGTCATATGGACCGGTTGGACCAACTGGCCTGTTGGCCGAATGGACTAGTTGGACCAACTGGCTTGTTGATCCTATGGACCAGTCGGACCAACTGGCCTGTTGGTCCTATGAATCGGTTGGACCAATCGGCCTGTTGGTCCTATGGACTGGTTGGACCAACTCGCGTGTTGGTCCTATGGACCGGCTGGACCAACTCGCCTGTTGGTCCTATGGACTGACCTGTTGGTCCTATGGACCGGTTGGACCAACTTGCCTGTTGATCCAATGGACGAGTTGGACCAACTGGCCTGTTGGTCCTATAAACCGGATGGACCAACCTGCATGTTGGTTATATGGACCAGTTGGACCAACTCGCCTGTTGGTCCTATGGACCAATTGGACCAACTCGCATGTTGGTCCTATCAACCGGTTGGACCAACTGGCGTGTTGGTTCTATGGACCGGTTGGACCAACTGGCCTGTTGGTCCTATGGACCGGTTGGACCAATTGGCCTGTTAGTCCTATGGACCAGCTGGACCAAGTGGATTGTTGGTCCAATGGACCGATTGGACCAACTAGCCTGTTGGTCCTATGGACCGGCTGGACCGACTAGCATGTTGATCCTATGGACCGGTTGGACCAACTGACATGTTGGTCATATGGACCAGTTGGACCAACTGGCTTGTTGGCCGAATGGACTGGTTGGACAACTAGCCTGTTGATCCTATGGACCGGTCGGACCAACCGGCCTGTTGGTGCTATGGATCGGTTGGACCAACTGGCTTGTTGGTCCTATGGACCGGTTGGACCAACTCGCCTGTTGGTCCTATGGACCGGTTGGACCAACTGGCCTGTTGGTCCTATGGACCGGTTGGACCATCTGGCATGATGTTCCTATGGACCGGTTGGACCAACTGGCCTGTTGGACGAATGGACGGGTTGGACCAATTGGCCTGTTGGTCCTATGGACCGGTTGGACCAACTGGCCTGTTGGTCCTATGGTCCGACCGACTGACGTGTTGGCCGAATGGACCAGTTGGACCAAACTCACGTGTTGGTCCTATAGACCATTTGGACAAACTTGCCTGTTGGTCCTATGGACCGGATGGAGCAAGGGGCATGTTGATCCTATGGACCGGTTGGACCAATTCGCATGTTGGTCCTATGGACCAATTGGACCAACTGGCCTATTGGTCCTATGGACCGGTTGGACCAACTGACGTGTTAGTCCTATGGACCGGTTGGACCAACTTACGTGTTGGTCCTATGGACCGGCTGGACCAACTGGCCTGTTGTTCCAATGGACCAGTTGGACCAACTCACGTGTTGGTCCTATAGACCATTTGGACAAACTTGCCTGTTGGTCCTATGGACCGGTTGGAGCAACTAGCATGTTGGTCCTATGGACCGGTTGGACCAATTGGCCTGTTGTCCGAATGGACCGGTTGGACCAACTGGCCTGTTGGTTCTATGGACCGGTTGGACTAACTGGCCTGTTGTCCGAATGGACCGGTTGGACCAACTGGCCTGCTGGTCCTAGGGACTGATTGGACCAACTTACGTGTTGGTCCTATGGACCGGTTGGACAAACTGGCCTGTTGTCCGAATGGACCGGTTGGACCAACTGGCCTGTTGGCCCTATTAACCGGATGGACCAACTCGCATGTTGGTTATATGGACCGGTTGGACCAACTCGCCTGTTGGTCCTATGGACCAATTGGACCAACTCGCATGTTGGTCCTATGAACGGGTTGGACCAACTGGCCTGTTGGTCCTATGGACCGGTTGGACCAAATGGCCTGTTGGTCCTATGGACCGGCTGGCCCAACTGGATTGTTGGTCCAATGGACCGGTTGGACCAACTGGCCTGTTGGTCCTATGGATCGGCTGGGCCAACTGGTCTGTTGATCCTGTGGACCGGTTGGACCAACTGACATGTTGGTCATATGGACCGGTTGGACCAACTGGCCTGTTGGCCGAATGGACTAGTTGGACCAACTGGCTTGTTGATCCTATGGACCAGTCGGACCAACTGGCCTGTTGGTCCTATGAATCGGTTGGACCAATCGGCCTGTTGGTCCTATGGACTGGTTGGACCAACTCGCGTGTTGGTCCTATGGACCGGCTGGACCAACTCGCCTGTTGGTCCTATGGACTGGCCTGTTGGTCCTATGGACCGGTTGGACCAACTTGCCTGTTGATCCAATGGACGAGTTGGACCAACTGGCCTATTGGTCCTATAAACCGGATGGACCAACCTGCATGTTGGTTATATGGACCAGTTGGACCAACTCGCCTGTTGGTCCTATGGACCAATTGGACCAACTCGCATGTTGGTCCTATCAACTGGTTGGACCAACTGGCGTGTTGGTTCTATGGACCGGTTGGACCAACTGGCCTGTTGGTCCTATGGACCGGTTGGACCAATTGGCCTGTTAGTCCTATGGACCGGCTGGACCAAGTGGATTGTTGGTCCAATGGACCGATTGGACCAACTAGCCTGTTGGTCCTATGGACCGGCTGGACCGACTGGCATGTTGATCCTATGGACCGGTTGGACCAACTGACATGTTGGTCATATGGACCAGTTGGACCAACTGGCTTGTTGGCCGAATGGACTGGTTGGACCAACTGGCCTGTTGATCCTATGGACCGGTCGGACCAACCGGCCTGTTGGTGCTATGGATCGGTTGGACCAACTGGCTTGTTGGTCCTATGGACCGGTTGGACCAACTCGCCTGTTGGTCCTATGGACCGGTTGGACCAACTCGCCTGGTGGTCCTATGGACTGGCCTGTTGGTCCTATGGACCGGCTGGACCAACTTGCCTGTTAATCCAATGGACGAGTTGGACCAACTGGCCTGTTGATCCAATGGACCGGTTGGACCAACTAGCTTGTTGGCCGGATGGACCGGTTGGACCAACCGGCCTGTTGGTCCTATGGACCGGTTGGACCAACTGACGTGTTGGTCCTATGGTCCGGTTGGACCAACTGACGTGTTGGTCCTTTGGATCGGTTGGACCAACTGGCCTGTTGGACCTATGGACCGGTTGGACCAACTGGCATGTTGGTCCTAAGGACCAATTGGATCAACTGGCCTGTTGGTCCTATGGACCGTTTGGACCAACTAGCATGTTGGTCCTATGGACCGGTTGGACCAACTGGCATGTTGGTCCTGTGGACCGGTTCGACCAACTGGCCTGTTGGCCGAATGGACAGGTTGGACCAACTGGCCTGTTGGTCCTATGGACCGGCTGGACCAACTGGCCTGTTGGTCCTATGGACCGGCTGGACCAACTGGCCTGTTGGTCCTATGGACCGGTTGGACCAACTGGCCTATTGGCCAATTGGACGGGCTGGACCAAATGGCCTGTTGGTCCTATGGACCGGTTGGACCAACTGGCCTGTTCCAATGAACCAGTTGGACCAACTCACGTGTTGGTCCTATAGACCATTTGGACAAACTTGCCTGTTGGTCCTATGGACCGGTTGGAACAACTGGCATGTTGGTCCTATGGACCGGTTGGACCAACTCGCATGTTGGTCCTATGGACCAATTGGACCAACTGGCCTATTTGTCCTATGGACCGGTTGGACCAACTGACGTGTTGGTCCTATGGACGGTTCGACTAACTGGCCTTTTGTCCGAATGGACCGGTTGGACAAACTGGCCTGTTGGTCCTATAAACCGGATGGACCAACCCGCATGTTGGTTATATGGACCGGTTGGACCAACTCGCCTGTTGGTCCTATGGACCAATTGGACCAACTCGCATGTTGGTCCTATAGATAGGTTGGACCAATTGACGTGTTGGTCATATGGACCGGTTGGACCAACTGGCCTGTTGGTCCTATGGACCGGTTGGACCAATTGGCCTGTTGGTCCTATGGACCGGTTGGACCAACTGGATTGTTGGTCCAATGGACCGGTTGGACCAACTGGCCTGTTGGTCTTATGGACCAGTTGGACCAACTGGCCTGTTGGTCCTATGGACCGGTTGGACCAACTGACATGTTGGTCATATGGACCGGTTGGACCAACTGGACTGTTGGCCGAATGGACTGATTGGACCAACTGGCCTGTTGATCCTATGGACCGGTCGGACCAACTGGCCTGTTGGTTCTATGGATCGGTTGGACCAATCGGCCTGGTGGTCCTATGGACCGGATGGACCAGCACGCCTGTTGGTCCTATGGACCGGTTGGACCAACTGGCCTGTTGGTCATATGGACTGGTTGGACCAACTGGCCTGTTGGTCCTATGGATCGGTTGGACCAACAGACATGTTGGTCCTTTTGACCGGTTG